TGTCTGGAAGAAAGGTAATGTATGAGAGATGTTAAGGTTAGGAGAAGGCAGGATAACTGTGCCTGTGAAAGGTGCACAGAGGTAGCAGGATCCAAAATCCAAGGGAGAGAAGCACTTCAAATTGTTGCTTGTCAAGAAAAGGATTTGCCAAATGATGGTATGCTAATGTGTGAGTCTCAGATGACCCTTGAATACAATTGCTGGGCTATATGATCAGCATGAACCCCGATATTGGGCAAAGGACAAAATATTTGGTGGTATGTGCCTCAGTCAATAGGGAAGGGGACAAGTTGCAAGACATGAACGACAAGGACAAAACATAACATACCTGTGATACTAACTCCAGAAAAGGATAAGAACGATGTGGCACATCCAGTCTGAGAATGAGACTGCACATCAGAGAAAGGGGGGACAAAGGCTATCCACATCCTTATCATCCTGTTCCTGAGAAGAAGAAAAGTGGTTGATATACAGGAGAGCCCTTGGCATGCATGAAGGCGGTCATCTCCAGGTGCACAAGGGCTGAAACTTCCTCAGCCAATAACATTGAACCTGAAGCCATCGTGATATGCTGTTATTGACCTGACTTAAAACTGTGAATTTGTGTTAATTCTCCTGACTGTCAGAACACTCCACAGAAAACATATGAAATTAAATCAACAGGAAGCAATAATGAAACCACACAAAAAAATTTATAAACAAAATAACAATAAAATTCAAACTCAAAATAAAAGATTTTTGTGAAGTTCAAAAATGAAAGCAAAGTTTAAAATTCAAAGGTCAATGAACACAAAATTAAACAAGCAGAAAGCAAAAGTAATGATCTCTGTCATGCCAAATAAAGAAGTGAATATTGGGTTCTAGTGCATAGAGAGAGTCAGCTGCACCAGGAAAGTGTGTCAAACTCTTATTGCAAGAAGGTTGTTGCATGCTACAGTGCAGCTATACCATGTGGAAAACACATGGAGGTATGCAGGAGCACAAAGGCTTGTGGACGAGCAAAAATGTGCACATATAGAGGGCAGTACAAATTGAAAAATGCTATTGTGTCAGAGGAGGTAAGTTATTGTGTCAGAATTTAATGTAAATTATTCACTGTAGCATTAATATTACTAAAACAAAGTCATATTTTTTAGCTTTCAATCTTCACTGTTTATGAAGTCATAAACTAAAAAATAAGACTTGCCACACCCACCTGTCACATCCTCTCTTTCACAATTTGCCAATAATTCTCTCTGATGTTTCATATATTTTATAACCAATACAAAGGCAAAGTTTTAACTTATCAAATGATGCTTAATGCTATGTTGTTTTCAGAACAAAGTATTGTCAATTTGGTAACTCAAATGTAAAAATTAGAAATTTATTTAGTTAGACCAAGTTAGATTAGGTGAAATTATGAAACATAATGATAATAAAAATCCTTCATGAGGTATGCTCACAAGTAGTTTGTGCTTCAAAACAACACGAGCAACACGTTTGGCAAGTATTATTAGTTAGAAACTGATGTATACTGTTACAAGCCTTGAGCTATTTAGGATAAACAACTGTAGTTTTCTGTTACAATCTGCAGCCATTTGAGAAAGAAAAAGGGTAATTTAGATTTATTTTGTATTTTTATGGTAGTTATGAGGCAAGTTAAAAAAGGTAATTTAGATTTATTTTGTATTTTTTATGGTGGTTATGAGGTCAGATAAATTGACTGACTTTGAATAGTTAGGGTACAAAAAAAAAGATAAAATATAAAGTCTTACTGAAAATAAAAATTGATATTTATTTAGGAGGTTTCAGGTGTTATGTAAATAAAATCTAAAAATTTTCAAACAAATAAAAGTATTTTTAATCTTAACATGAAAATCACTTTGCTCTTAGAGCAGTCAACAGTCTGACTCCATATATTCACAGACAAATCTTTAGTAAAAATACTTAATTAAAAAATCTGAATTTTTGTACAAAAGACATGTAATATTTAGTAAAAACTTGCAAAATTTCATAAAGATACATTAAGCACTTTCTTAGTTGTAGTATGTATACCTTCATGTTAATTACAATGTCATGTAAAATGCATAAGCCCATGACCATAGGGTTAAACCCATCCCCTAGATATTACCTGATTAAAAATACTTTTTTTTTGGTTCAAGCTACATAGTATGACAACCCCAACCATCCAAAAAAATTGAAACTTTCATGTCAGTGGGAGTTTAATGTAGGTAGAATATAAAAATCTAGCACTATAGTGACATATCTTTGATAGTTAGAAAGGAAATTATTTTTAAAAACACATTCAAGAATACACAAGATTTGACTTACAATACTGATGTTCAGAAGAACAGTTTATTTAACACTAGAGAATAAGATAAATAAAAAAATTAGGAATTTAAAAACCTGCAACTAGAGGCCATAACAAAAGTAAGGAAACAAGGCTGGAGATACTGTAGACAATATTTACTCAAACTAAAAAAAACCTATTTTGGCTCCTTGCTGTCACCTAAAATTACATTTGGTGAAGTAAAAATAAGAACTTGTAGTTTGTAGTAAATATTAGTCTACAGTGTCTCCCTCGCAGTACCGTACATCGCCTTGGCCGTACAGCAGAATGTATGAGAGGATGTTAAGGTTTA